CCCGCGCCATGGCGGAGGCGGCCTCGCAGGTAGCGGAGCTGCCCGGTGGGCTCCCGCCGGGGAGGATGGAGGGGGGTCCTCTCAAGCAGAAGAAGGATGCGGGTGTGGGAAGTTTGCTGCACCCCTTGTACTACTTCTCGCCTCTATAGCTGTGCCTTGCGGTGAAAGGGACTTCCTTTGAATATCTGCTCAGAGTTTATTTCAAGCTTCAACACCTACTGACCAGCTCTCTGTGTTTTTTCCCTTTCCACAGGATCTCCTGCTGGCAGCAGCATTTGTCTCCGATGCGCAGTACAACAGAAATATTCCTTTTAAGACCTCCCCAGAGGCAGTCAGGTAAGGAGGTCTGTGTCCCTGCAAACACCTGTACCGTTGCACCAGAGCGGGGTTCTGCACTGGTCTCACAGGTAGTGTGCGATGCTGTGGGGCGCTCAAGCTGGGGTGGGGAGGACCAACCACAACTGTGTCCAAAGAAAAACAGCCAGCAAGGGATGGGGACCTCAGGTTCACCAGCTGTGTGCTGGGAAGGTTGGGTGGATGGGATGCAAAGAGCTGTATTGAGGCTGAAATACGTGTGTTGAATGAGGCTTAGTGCATCTATATGTTCAGGATGGGAAAGGCAATTAAAACTTGGGGTTTTGGTGGAGCAAGAAAATTTAAAATCTTTTAAGACTGGAGCTGCAGCACTCTGGGGATGAAGAGTTTGGGAAGTTTGGTCAGCCCTCACCTGTGTGGAAGGGGGTGCTGGAATGTGGCTGTGCTGGGTGTAAGCAGCTGAGTTTTGGTAGCAGTGGGCTGCACGGTTGGCCTGTGTGGGAGAACAGCCCTGTGCCAGGCGGACACAGCTGTTACCAGTTGGCAATGGGTGACACCAACCCACTGCACACCAAATTTCAGCTAATCAAAGGAGTGTATGGCACCTCTGCTCAGGTGTACTTCAGAAAGGGCGGTAGCTGCTAGGGGCAGGAGTAATTGAAAACTTATGTTGATTGGTGATAAGTGAAATTCCCCAAGAGTGTTTTGCCTGCAACATTGATTCTCTTCACTTTTAGCTGCTGGCAAGAGGCCGAACAACTTCAGTCAGAGAGGTGACTTTTCCCTCAGGCTTGGACTGCTTTAGGAAAACTATTTCTTCCTATAAAACTTGAGAGAAGGTGGCTAGTGTAGAAGAGAAAGGCAATACAAAAGACTGCCAGCAAAGCAATGTGTGAGCTTTAATGATGCCTGTAGCCCTCCCCACAAAACCCTTTGCTTTTACTTAGTTGTCATGTCTTAGCTAATGAAGTTTTTTGAGTATCTTGGAGACACAAGTGTGGTTAAGTATGTTTGTTACAAAGGATTTGAGCAGGTGTAAGCTGTTGTGTAGCTGTAATGTCTTTCTGCCTTGGAAAAACAGACTGTGTGCATACAGTATTGTCCTGCCTAAGTATACTTACAATAAATAGTGGAAATGAGCAGGTCTTATTTACGTGGTTGTGTCTTGATGGTGTTATTAAGGATATAATAACATGGCATCTGTATAATCACCTGCCCTGTAGCCATTATGCAGGTGGTTATTGGGCAGATGAGATGGCTGTTCGGCAATGCTGGCAGCTTTATTATTGGCAGAGAAACTATATTCTCTGCAGATGTGCTCTGCACCTCTCCAAAGGAGCCACTGTTGCATGCCATTGTGTGAAAGCTCCTGTAGGAGGCTTAGAGCTGGATGTGTTCATGGTTATTGTTAGCATTCATCAGAGGTTTTGCTGCCATACGGTTTAGAATACTGCTGAAGTTCTGTATAAAAAATGGTTTACTGTGCAACTTCACACTTCTCTCTGGTTGCTTTTCTTATTTCTTTGCTTTTTAACCTGCAAAGAAAGGGTTTTAGATTAGATCAGGCTTATTTTGTGTGTCATGTGGATACCTGAGCTTAGCAGAGGTTTGCACTTAAATTAAGGAACGAAGTAATTATAAAAAGGAAGCAGCTTTATCAAATCTGTATGTTGCAGTCTTAAACTGAACTGAAGAATGCCTGGGTTCCACCTTCTTGGATTTTTTGCTCCCTGAAAGGGAGTATAATGCCCATCAGCTATGAGACTATAAGGAAGGGCCAGGAAACAAACTGCCAAATCCCTGGCTGGCAAAAATTGTGCTACTGTTACTCTTCTTCCTCCATGACTGTTTGGGACAGCATCTGCTGTTCATCCAAGATGTATTTGGTGAGCCCATGGGAGTGTGTACTGAAGCCTTTGTTTATGGTGCCACTGCCTTCTTTCTGCAGGCTTTATTATCTCTATAACCACTGGATTATGCGAACAGTCACCTACTTCTTCATCTTTCTCAACCTGTCCCTTGCAGTGTTTGAAGAACCTGCTGTGTATCCGCTGCCCTTTCTGGTAAGTTTTCAGTGTAGAAGCAGCAATGCAACTAGTATTGTGTTGCTTGGTAGAGCAAGCAAGGGTTTCTTGCTTCAAACTAGTTGTCAAAGGTTTCAAGAGATAATTGATGCTGATGTTTCTGTTAATATCTCTTTACTTTCTGAAATGGGGACAAAAAAGAGCTAGACAGGGAGTATGGGAGCCGCTGTGGCGGTCAGCAATGACTGAGGTGACTGTGGACAAAGTCATGTTGCTTTTCAGCATCTCGGAGAACAATTCCAGCCTTCTGTGTGACCCAAGTCTGTTCCTCATGTCTGAAAGCAGAAGCGGAGTGTTTCCCTTGGGACTGATTTTTCTGCAGCCTTTATTTGTTCTGTACTAGTATGTTTGTGAAATATGTACTCCTTGAATCCTAAGCAAATACAAATTTACTGGCTTTAGCCTGCCTGTGGCAGGGAATTTTGCAAAAAAAGCAGCCTAAAACTATTGCTCAGTACCAGATACGTGAGCGTGTAAAATGGTTGGCAGCAAAAACCCACTGGAAAAGCGTTTATACTGACTCTGCCTGTTTTTCCTTTGCCTGGACCCCAGCCTGAACATCCTCATCTGTGCGAAGAGGGCTAACCCTTCTCTCGGTTGTCCTGACTTGCACCCCTTCTCTCTCTGCAGGTCACATCTCTGGTCGAGGTGTTGTGCCTTCTGGTGTTCTTTGGCCG